CCCTCGCAGGACGCGAGCCGATTGGCCGAGGCGGCGTCACGTGACGTCCCGTCTCGGGAAGAGCGGAGCCTCAGGAACACCCTCGCGAGAGCCGTTGCTTCCAATCCTCCCTCAGCTCCCCTATTGATATTCCCGCGGACCGGGGAGAGCTTCGTCTGGGTGGCCTGTCATTGGTGGGAGGAGATTGCCTGCGATTGGTGGAGGGAAGTGTCAAATTTAAATATCAGCACGATGATTGGTTAAGGAGGGCGGGGGGGGAGGTTCTTGCGTCAAGACGCAAACGTATTATGTAGGACGTTGGGTGACAACTGGAATACTGCGATTTAGATGACGATCTGAAGTTTTTGAGTTTAATACTAATTGAGACACCAGCTGAATATCCAACAGCAATTAGTAGTACAAATTACCAGTTAGTGAGCAATAAAATAAAAGCCGGGCAGTGCTTCAGAAGGCTTTGACGTGCAGTAAGTATATTAAGAAGAATGAATGTAATGAAAGGTGCTAGTTAGATTCTCCGGACCTGCTGTTTTCGCGGCCTGAAACCCTCTTTCCGCAGCTTTTTCTAATTTATACATGACCCTCAGATCTCATATGATACAACGCAGAACCTTTTCGTTCTCCACCCTCATAAAGACCAGGTGCCTACCACACTTGAAAGCAATTACGGTTCCTAAAGGGAGCCGTAATGGTTATATGGTGGGCTGCGGGAAGTCCCGCAAGGTCGACTGTTCGAAACTAACAAGTTCTCTGCGGGAGAAAGTGACAATCTGAAACTCACAGGTCCTACAGCGTTGCAATGAGTCAGAATCAAATCATTGGTTGTAAGCTGAGTTCCTAAGCATCTATGAATGTGTTCTTTGATGAGTGCTTCCCCCTCCCCCCTTCTTTTCTATTCTAGCTTCACGCAGACCTGGTGGAATGGTGATGCATTAGGCTGGGATCCGGAAGGTCAGCAGTTCAAAACCAACAGCCACGCAGGAGAAAGAAGGGGCTTTCTACTCCTGTAGATAAGTTACAGCCTCTCAATTCAAAGGGGCAGTTCTGCTCTGGCTTTAAGGTCTCCAATAGGGCTAATCATACTTGTTCATCGCTGTATCTCCACATGCCTGGGTACATACATAGTATCCACTGCCATCAAGTGGATTCCAACTCATAACGACTCTATAGGACAATAGAATTGCCCCGGTGGTTCCAAGGCAGTCCATCTTTTTTTTCCCCACCCTGCCACTTTTTTTTTAACTGTCAATCTATGGAAGATGACTGCCACATAATCTTTGGCCCACCACAGTGACCCAATAGGACAGTGTAGAACTACCCCCATGGGTTTCCACGAATCTTTTTCCATGTGAGTAGAAAGACCAGCCTTTCTCCTGAGGAGGGGCTCGTGTTTTTGAACTGCTGACCTCGCAGTTAGCCCAACGTGTAACCACTATGCCACCAGGGTTCCTTACCCATCTATTAGGTATTCCAAAAATATTTGAAAGAATAAATATTGTGTGACTGAATTCTACATCATGGAGGTTAGATGCCTCCTATGGAAGAGGCCCCTCCAGGCCAACCCTGCAAGTCTTACAAATAGGTGAGCCCCAGCACCAACTTGATGTGTGAGGAAAGCAGAGGTGAGGATTGATGGAAACCAAACCTGAGCTGGGAGCTTGACTGTGGTTGATTGGATAGTTCAGTCAGTAGAACTGGTTGGAAAAGGAGCATTGGGAGGTAAAGGACAGGGGAAGATTAGTTCAGGCAAGCCACGTAGATCACATCACAGGTCTTCCACCTGCACCCTGAAAGAACCTTCCCTCCCTCTCTGACACTGTGGCATTCTGGGACAATTGAAGTTAGTGGACTACAGTTGAGAGGATCTTTCAAAATCATCCCAGGAGGTGAAGGCCAGAGCATGAGTATCTTTGGGGAGGGGGAGCTCTCTGAAGCAACCCTTTCACTAATCTAGCCCAGGAATCCTCTTGAGGCATTTGGAAACTTCCCGCAATCATTATGTGCATCCAGAACATCAGCTGCAGCTGTGAGCGTGCAACCCTGGTGTCCCCAGCCCTTGGTCTCAAATGTGTCTTTTGGGTTTTGTTGTCCCCTTTCTAGTCATCTTCTACTTCTGTCAATACATTCTCATTGTGCCCCTTCTAGGTGCCAAAGCCCCTCCCAGGTGCAGGAAAACAAAAACAAAAAAAAATCATTCATTTATCCCACAAATAGTGATTCTTGTCAGGCAAGATGATAGAATGTGGAATAAACACTTTTTTTTTTTTTTTTAGTTCATGGATTGTTTGTTGGCCTTTAGGAGTCTTTTCCAGTCCAGGGAGTAAACACTTTGATCCATAAGCAAGCAGGCTGGTCCATCCCACATGAGATGGGGGCACAGGGTTTCTTGGCCTCAGTACTATTGACATAGGGGGCCAGGTCGTTCTTTGGGGAGGGGACTGTGTATGCATTGTGAGATGTTGAGTATCATCCCTGGCCCCTCCCCATTAAATGCCAGCAGTACACCGCAACCCCCGCTACTCCTCCAAGTCATGACTACTAAACATGTCTCCAGATATGGCCAAGTGTCCCGTGGGAAAGATATAGAATCATCCCTGGTTGAGAACCACCGTGGTGAGGGTACACATAAAGGGAAGGACTGAGCCACCCTGCATGTTTTCTCCACTGTGGCACACCTGCAGCTGAGGCCTAGCAGCCTTCTCTAGGAGCCCTGGTGGCATAGTGGTTATGCATGGGGCTGCAGTCTGCAAGGTCGGCAGTTCAAAGCCACCAGCTGCCCTTCAGGAGAAAGACAGGGCATTCTAGTCCCCTAAAGCAGATCTTGGAAAGTCCAAGGGGGCTGGGGGTGGGGGTAGTTCTACCCTGTGCTATCAGGTGGCTATGAGTTGGCATCCACTTGGTGGCAGTGAGTTTTTGACTTTCAAGCAGTCCTCTGCCTCTCGGAGGATGACCACACCACCGAGATTTCTTTCTTTTTTTTTTTTTCCACCGAGATTTCAACATAAACATTCCAGTCCCTTTCATTCCAATCGCCTCCTTGTTCCTCCTCCTGACTCACTGCCATTCATTATTCATGACCAAGTCACTCGACAACATTTTACCAATAATAACTGCGGGGTGGCGGGAGGGCGGGGGAGCGACAAACCAGCTTGTCAAATCTGGGGAAGCTTCCTGGAGGAGGCATCATTCCAACCTGTGTCATCTTACTGAAAACCCACTGTCAAGGAGCCCATTCCAACTCACAGTGGCCCTACACGACAGAACAGAACTGCTTCGTAGGGTTTTCACGACTACATCTTTACAGGAGCACGCACCCCCCCCCTTTCTCCCTCAGATTTGGTGGTGGCTTTGAACTACTGACATGGCCGTTACAGCCTCACATGCTTAGGCCCTGTACCACCAGGGCTCAAGGGTGGGAGAAAGATTGGGAAAGAAGGGGTACGAGAAAAACAGCCTTAAGAAAAGGAGCAGAGATCACAGACCGTGGAAGAGAAATAGAGTCAGAGAGGTCGGTTGGGCCGGAGGATACGAGTTTCATAGGTGGTAGGAAGTTGGGGCTGTTTCTTGAGGCCAGTGCTGTTATTAGTGCTCTCACAGTGGTTCTGTGAACACGGCCCAGTCGTGAGCCTTCCTCAAAACATTGCTCTTGCCGCCCATGGTTGCAGCCGCTGTGTCAACTCATGTCCTTGCGGCCCTTCCCTATTTAGGCTGACCCTCTACTTTCCCTAGCATGGTAAAGTCCTTTTTCAGGGACTGGCCCCTCCTGATAATGTCCAAAGTGAATGAGATAAAGTTT